GAATTTTTGGAATTTTTGGAATTTTTGGAATTTTTGGAATTTTGGAATTTTGAGAATTTTTTGTAAATTTTAGGAAAGTGCACAAGATTTCACATGAAAGGTTGGTCCAGGGGGGTGGCGCTAGCATACATATATATATATATATATATTCGCACACAGACATACATACTGTCACTGGATTAAGTCGCATAGGTTTGGGCTCAGGCACTTCCGTGGCTTGGTCATCCCGGGCTTCGCGCGGATAACCTGGCAGGTTGGGCATTTTGCCAGGACTTGCTACGATCGGGTTTGTGTGAGTTTTTTTGGAGGGGGGTTGGAGTTGGGGGTTTAGGATGTAGTGGTTTAGGACTTGCTTTTTAAAGTGTTTTGAACTTAGGGTGTAGGGCACCCTGCAACGGCCCGCACCACTACCATTACTATTAGAGTTAACACTACCGCTACTGTCATTCCTTCAAATACCAAGACTACGACTACGACTACACCGCTACCGCTACCGCTACCGCTACCGCTACCGCTACCGCTACCGCTACCGCTACCGCTACCGCTACCGCTACCGCTACCGCTACCGCTACCGCTACCGCTACCGCTGCTGCTGCTGCTGCTGCTGCCGCTGCCGCCGCTACGACTACGGCTACGACTACAGCTGCCACTGCCATTGCCACTGCCACTGCTACTGCTACTGCACTACTACGATGACCAAAAGCCGTAATAGCAGTGGTAGTTGGTTGTAGCAGCGGAATTATAACAGTACTAGTATTGCTGGTGCGCGTAGTAAAGCCGAGCAGTGGCAACAAGAGGGATAGTCACATGCACGGCTTCTTCCAGCCGAGAGGTGGAGCATCGGTTCCGGCGGGACAGCACGGAGCTGTGCGCCTTCCGAACCCTCGGTTCGCTGTATGCTGAGCATCTTGGGATATTTGTTCCGGGTGACAGGCAGAATTAGTGGAGCCTGCCGTGATGCCTGGGGCTGAAGCACCGCCCAAGGCCATTGCAACAAGGTGCCGGAGAGCACTTCGTAGCATGTCACTCCGGGTCATATGTTTACATAATGTATAATGTGATTTAAGTTTTATTCTATAGGGTTTTAGATTACGATAACTGTTTAGATATTTTTAGATTCTTCATAAGAATACATATGAATTAGGCACGGCACCGTAAACTCCTGAACCCTAGACCCCGATGTCTGGATATTCTTTCCACCCCTTGTGTCATATGCCTGTCGAGCTTTGCCTCCTAACCACTAAACCCTAAAACCCTAAACCCTAAACCCTAAACCCTAAACCCTAAACCCTAAACCCTAAACCCTAAACCGCAACTAAAGTAAACCTCGGCTCCGGCCCTAAGCCTTTCCTTTCGGGGGGCTTTGCAAAGCTAAGTTGACGGGTCCATGTGCATCTAGAAACCGGCCCAAACTCTCAGATTCGGTACCTTAACCCCCCCGTTCAAAAACAAGACCTTGCTTGAAACTCTAAACCCTAACCCCAAAACCCTCCCATGTGAGGTACTTCGAGCTGCTGGAGCCCTTCTGCAGGACCTTCCACGTAGCCAACAGCAGGCGAGTTGGCTTCAGGCTTTGGGGCAACCCCAAACCCTCAACTTCAGGCTTTGGGGGGTTCGTGTGGCTTTTCCATGAGTTCCCGCAGTGGTGGAGCTTCGCCTTGCGAGCCCCTCGCAAAATGCAGGGTCATAATCTGTACGTACAAATATGGGGGTTTCCGAAAATAGGGGACCCATACATAGTACCCTAAATTTGTAGGATCCTTCTTATAAGGACCCCAGAGTAAGGTGCCCTATCGAGCTGGGAGGGAGCTCTTTCTCCCTCCAAAAGCAGTCACATAGTTCCCTAAACACTAAACCCTATACCCTAAACCCTAAACCCTTATAGTTATTAGTGAGGATTGCAGGTTGATTCGGGTTTAGGGTGTCATAAGGTTTTAGGGCAGGGTTTAGGGCTCGGGTGGATGAACAACGATTTACAACGATTTGTATCAAGGGCTGGAAGAAATAGTGACAGTCGTATTTCCCAGGATTCCCGGATACGTTTACAGGAAAGAACCACCGAAACCGTCCCTAAACCCTAAACCCTAAATCCCTAAACCCTAAACCCTAAATCACTAAACCCTAAACCCTAAACCCTAAAATTATTCATGCCGGCCCTGGGGCTCAGGCTTTGGAGATCGCTTAGAGAATCCTTGCGCAAGTCTAGCCTCAGCAACCGCAAGGGCTAACTTGCATCCGCCAAAGCCCCAGAGTTCTCCCCCCAAAACGGGGTGGGGGCCTTAGTAATATGGGTGGTTGTCAAAATTAGGGTCCCTTTTTGGGTACCCTAAATATTAGGTGCCGTATATTATATTACGGACCCAAAAAGGGACCATAATTTTGACAACCACTCATATAGACGGGGGTCTTGGTAAATCCTACTATCTATTGCGAAACCCGTATCAGGAACAGTTCAACCTTTGCAGGTGGCAGAATCCTAACTTCAAGCCCGAACCCTCTGGAGGTAAAGCCGCGAAGCAACTCCCCCACAAAGCCACAGTCGCAATCCTAAACGCTCATGCCCAAATCTTGCATCTTGAAGGCAAAGTGCTAAAGTACCGTTTCGGCACCCTCAACCCCCTAAATCCTGAACCCTCAACCCGCCGCACTCGCCCCCGCCCACACCACGGATGCCTTGACATGCCCCAGCCTCTACACCGAAACTTTAAAGCCTAAACCCTGAGCCCTAACCCCTAAACCGAATCGACAAGCCACCCGGGAAAGCCTAGAGCTCCTCGACAAGCAGCAGTAATGTAGAGGCCTAAATTGATTACCAAGATTACTCCTCATGGGTTTCGTTGTTATATACAGGACTATAAGGGTGCCCAAATACGTGTTGCCTTGCCTTTCCATTGCTGTGTGATACAAGTCAGTGTAGGCACGTATACGGGATCTAATCCACAAGATATTAGGTAGTAGATACTAGCTAATACATGCAGCATAAGGTGTACAAGATGTAGAATATATCATATGGTATAAGACAACCTCCAATATATAATATAAAGTCTACAGAAAGAAAAATATGTATATATGATATATTATACCATATATATCTCTATATATCATACATATATATATATATCGCATAATATGTATATATCTGTATGTGTATATATATATATATATGATATATAGCTATACCTATGCGCAGCACCTTGCAGCCTGACCAGGCGCTATGCTGCGCCGCTCGAGGCCGACTTGGCAGCGTGTGAGGACTTCAACTACAGCAAGGTCGGGCTTGTTTGTTTTGTTTAGGGTGTTGAAGGGTGTTTAAAGGGTTTTTTCAGGGTTTTTTAGTGTGTTCAATGGTTTTTAAGGGGTTTTAAGGGTTTTTTCAAGGTTTTTGAAGGTTTTTCCTGGTTTTTCAAATGTTTTAGGGGTTTGGGGTTTCGGTTCATTTTTCAAGGACGTACTGAGTTTCTTTGCAGGGGTGTTCTGGGGTTTGAGGTTAACTGACGGTGTCTCATAGGGTTTTGTCAGGGGTTTAGGGATTTGCAGGGTTTTGGAGTAGGAGGTTGGGAGGCGGCTCGGAATTGGAGGCCTTTCTAGTAGGGCTGCTAGGACACCCAGCGCGCTCAGGGGAGCTTGTTATTATTATATACTATATTAATGTTGTATTTTGTTATATGGTATTCTATTACATTGTATTGTATTGTATTCTAGTGTAGTACAGTGTAGCATAGTATAGGAGGTGTTTAGGACTACACCTCGGCCACTGCCTACACGAACACGCAGCCTAGCTCTCTTCTCTCCATCTGTTCGCATCACTGATTGAGGAAAGTAAAGAAATGTATTTCTGCACAGAGTAGTTCGTGCTCTCTTTTGAATGAGGGGAGACTACCCCCGAGTGATGGTGCTGCAAGTCGGTATAGAGTCTTGAGAACCGTATGATAGAGCATGCCCAAAACAAGTGCACATTACGGCTGGGGTTCTTTATTATAATTATAGTATAATATACCCCGAAACCCTATTCTAAGTATTAAGGCCCCTATATTACTGTCTTAGTCACCCAAGCTACTCAATGCGGCAACTGCAAGGCTTTAACTGCTAGATGGCCTGGCCTGGCGCCTCCCCTCCGACCATGCCCGCGCATGTAGGGCCCATGTGGGAGTTTCCGGAAACAGGGGGTGCCTTAATTTTGGGGTCCTTATAATAAGGATCCTACTATTTAGGGTACTATTTTAGGGTCCCCTATTTTCGGGAACGCCATGTAGGGCTCTTTGCTTTCCGCCGCCCTCACTCAGAAAGAGTGGCCTTCTCTGCTGTTTCGACTTCGTCTCGCTAGGCTTCGTGCAGTCCGGTGGAATCTCAGTCTCTGCCTGACCCGAAAAAAAGTACCTGCGTGCATTGAGTATGGCCAAGTCGTATGTACTACGTCTCAGCTGCGGGTTCCATTTTCATCATCGCCCTTCTGCTGTGAAGAATAATACTAGCTGTTTCTTAAGCCTCCCTCCTTGGTGGCTTTTTGAATACTGCCTTCTGCTTGACATGATTTTGCCCTGAAGTCGACAGTCCATAGTCCTGTGCCCTAAAACTTGTAAGCCCGCAAAGCCCCAAAAGCCTCAACCCTAACCCCTAAACCCCCAGCCCGAAGACAGCCCTTATTTTTAAAGCCTTTGTAGTAACCTTCATAGTAACCCTGATAGTAACCCTTACTGGTACCTTTGTCGTATCCTTCTCGTAACCTTATAGTAATCCTACATAGCAAAGTTTCATAGTAACCCTTTCAGTAAGTCTCAATAGTATCCCTTTTGGTAACCCTCTTAGTAAGCTTTATAGTAACCCTTACCCTAAACCTAAACCCTAAGTCCTAAACCCCAAACTCTAAGCCTGAAGCCCTTATAGTAGCCCTTACCCTAAACCCTAAACCTAAGGCCTAAGCCTCAAACCCTTATAGTAACCCTTATATGTCCCTTATAGTAACCCTTATAGCCCTTATAGTAACCTTTATAAGTCCCTTACGGTAACCCTTGTAGTGTCCCTTATAGTAACCCTTATAGTAACCCGTATAATTTGCTTATAGTAACCCTTATTGACTTATAGTAACGCTTATGGTAACCCTTATAGTAAGCCTTATAGTAGCCCTAAACCCTAAACCCTAAAACCCTAAACCCTTATAATCCCTGAAAGTAAAGCCGCCAGGCAGCCCTGCGGTTTTCGCGGAAGCTGAAGAAGGAGTGTAGGGCAGTGAGGGCACCGATTAGAGTTAGGGGTTTCTATGTGGGATTCAGGGTTTCTTGGGATCAGACTTAATGGTGTCTATGTGGGATTTAGGGTTTCTTGGGATCAGACTTAATGGTGTCTATGTGGGATTTAGGGTTTCTTGGGATCAGACCTAATGGTGTCTATGTGGGATTTAGGGTTTCTTGGGATCAGACTTAATGGTGTCTATGTGGGATTTAGGGTTTCTTGGGATCAGGGTTTTGGGTTTACGGGGTGATGTAGGGTTTCTTATGTTCAGGATGTTGGGCTTATGGGGGGGTTTAAGGTTTCCTGGGTTCGGGGGTTTGGGTTTATGGGGTTTAGGGCTTTGGAGTTTGATTTCTATCATTGTCTTTGCTCCGATCTTCAGGCTGCTTTCCGTCTGGCTGTCCTGCTTAGGTGACGAGTCAGGAATCAGGAATCGCGAATAGGACCAACGCGAATTGCAGGCATCATGATCTTCACAGCCAGCATCACAATCATAGTCGCAGATACCACAAGTGGGGAAGGGGGGAAAGATTCGTATTCGTGAGTTAGTGAGTCGCAACAGGAGGCGTCGTCGTCCCCATCTTCGGTTTCGTTGTTGATTGATCTTGCCTTGTTGCCTCCTCTCTGGGGCGGTCGTAGCATGTGGATGAATGACACTAGAGAAAAGGCTGAGTGTATGCACGTAACTCATAAAGGGTCCGCCTAGTACTGGAACTTGCTCCTTAAATGCAAAACCAGCGGTTGTGATTCTAATAATTGTTTTTTGATTTGTGGACAGATAAGAAATGATCGAAGCATTGTGACTCGGCCGTCGGGCAGCAAGGAGTTGCAGCAACACCAACACCAGCCAAGGCTTGAGGACACCCTTGCAAAGTCGACGAAGCCCATGATAAAACTCCATAAGGGGCTAAGCCGTAAACGATCCTAAACCCCAAACCCCAAGCCCTTTGACGCCTTCAATTCAGGACCATGTGGTAGCAGGACTTCGGGTGCTTGCTCGGTCCCCGAGCCTTTGTGCAATAGCAAGACGCGCGTTGGGAAGATTCCAAGAGAGAGAAGCCCAAGTGTATGCCTGGATAGATTTTCATCACCGTCTTCATCACCATGAGCCGCATCGACATCGTCTCCTTCTTCACCATGCTCACCATCGTCACCACTATCACCACCACCATCATCATAATCATCATGATCTGCTTCTTCTTCATCATCATCATCATCGTCTTCATCATCATCATCATCATCATCATCATCATCATCGTCATCATCATCATCGTCATCGTCATCGTCGTCATGATCATCATATTCCTCATCAACCTCCTCATCATCATCGTAATCATCGTGATCATCGTCATCGTCAACATCATCGTCGCCATTGTCATTACTACCATGATCTCCAACACTGTGTTGGTTATCAATTTCTCGGTCATGTTCATCAGCGCCCAAATCATAGTCGCCATCACTATCAACCAGCTTCAGCGGCATCAGATGCAGCGTCACCACCACCACTGACTTCCAACGTGTCAGACGCCATAACCGGGAAACCATTCGATCAATCAGAAGTGCAAATCGTTATCACAGTGCGCTCGCTGACAAGTAACAATGTATAGAGGACAAGCCTGCTGATGTGTGTCACGTGTTTCTATCGTCGGATTGCCGCTTGACTGCGTTGTCAGAAGTAGAGCCATCATCAGTATCATGCTTCGCCTCCGCATGCTTCCCTGTTTGACAGCTACCACAGAGGCCATCCTCATGATGCTCCTTCTTGTGGGCCGCAAATCGTAGGCCCTAACCCTGATCGGAACCCATGCAGGAGGCTTCGAAGGAATCCTTACACCCTAAACTCTAAGCCCTATAACACCCCAAACCCTGATAAAAGATGCGCTCCAACAAAAATACCCAAACCCTAAACCAGAAGCCCCTTACAGGAAGCCTGAGCCCTCCTTTCTGTCGGGGAAGAAACCCCTCATTCAAACAAAGGCCCTCAACCCTAAACCCCTAAGCCCGAAACCCAAAACCCTAAAACCCTAAACCCTAAAACCCTAAACCCTAAGCCCCTAAGCCCTAAGAACCCAGAGCGCTCTGGCGCCATAGGTCATTCGAATGGGAGAGGCCATGGCCCAGGGAAGGCGGACACAATAACTGCTTATCGGGTGTTAGGGTTTAGGGTTTAGGGGGTTTAGAGTTTAGGTTTAGGGT